TTATATTTAGGAACGGAGGGAGTAGTACTATATGTTGATTCACCCGTGGGGTTGTTCAATGAATGGAGGGCCGGGGAGCACAAGTGAACAATACTACTAGTAGTAGTAGTAAGTAGGAGTCGTACATGTAGTCACCTTAAATAAAGAGTTTCTTGTCTTTAATGCCACGTACACAAATTGAAATGCTTGTTGTGGAGAGAAAAATATAATCACTCCACTATATATGTACGCAGGGGTCTGAGCGCTTGCTTTACTAGGGTTGCTCTCTTCATTCTCTCATCCTCTCCAAATATAAACAAGACATCGGTAGCGACATTTTCTCTCTGCTCACCGCTGGTCACCGATCCGGCTGGATCCCTTTGGCTGGTGTGTGTAGAGGACTAGGTGCATCGTTCACGCGGTCATCACCGACGAGGGAGGAAACCCACAGCTGCCGGAGGGGCCTGATCCTCTGCCCGTGCCATTCTCTCCGACACAGAGCCGGCTCGGGAGGTCCTCCGACCCTTCTTCCTCCCTGCCGTATTGTCTGCAGATCCGACCTGCCACCGCCGACATCCCGATGACCCTTAGGTATAAGTTCTTCGAAAGTGGCCTTGCTCTACTGCCCCAGCTCCCCATGTGTCTGCATGTGCATCTTTTTCTACTCCCATCGGCTCTTCCAAAGCCACCTAAATTTTTAGTATTATTAGAGGTAAAGCTACTTCATGCATTCGAATCCAGGGCTTTGTTCAAACAACAAAGAAAGGGGGAAAGTTGTAGCATGAATCTAGGACTTGATTCAAAGAGGAAATAATATGGTGAAAGAAGTAGAGACCGGATACCCAACTGGTCTCTTGGTTGAAAAGGCAAATAATGGGAAAATGCAGTACAACTGGATAAGGAACAGATCTATTATTGATTAAAAAAGGATAGAAAGTGGCGGCTGGTGGACAAGTCAACAGAGTATGTCGAGGATTAGATTTGTTGCCCTCACATAGTAAAAGGTCTCCAGGATTAGAATTGCTGCCCTCACATAGTAAAAGGTCTAGGATTAGATCTGCTGCCCTCACATAGTAAAATGTCTCCAGGATTAGATCTGCTGCCCTCACATAGTAAAAGGTCTCCAGGATTAGATTTGCTGCCCTCATATAGTACAAGGTCTCCAGGATTAGGTTTTCTGCCCTCACATAGTAAAAGGTCTCCAGGATTAGATTTGCTGCCCTCACATAGCATGAACAAACTCGGCATCACCACTTTATGCCTCCTTGTAGGTACATTGTGTTGATGCGTCCACTGTCGCATGTCCTTATACCAACATTTTGCTGTTGTTAATGTAAGGGCGCATGTAAAATGAAGCGATCACACTGTTACCTTAGGGACATGTCTAACCAGTGTTATTGTTAATCTAATGCCTCTAGTGATAAGATGCAATTAAACTGTGTTACAAATGGCACTCCTGCTGTTTTCCCCAGTATGATAAGTAAGTTGCTCCTTTACGCTGCTAAGTGTCCTGGTGTCCCCACGGTCCCATGCCCTTAAACCAACTCTTTAGCTGCTGTTGATTTACTGTATCTGGTAAACAAGCAATGCCACCATTAAAGTAATCCCATATTTGAGGAATCTCATTGTTGATCGTAATGCTTCTGGTAACATGAAGCATTGCTGACATTTTAAAATTTCTACTGCCCTTGTGTGGTTGCCATGAACATAATTAAGATGCTTCTTTTCATTTTGTATATGTTTCGTATATTCTTATTGACCAGCGACTATTTACTTTCTATCTTTTTTGCATATAGGGATATCCATTTCACCTTGTTGCTATTGTGACCTTTTGGTGAACTGCACAAAACACTTTTTTTGGAATGAGTGTCTTGTGCAGTTCAACTAAAATGTCATGTGGGCAACATCTCTCAATTTTGGTGGAACTGCACAAAATGGTGATTGAAGTTTGCAAAATCTCCGTCAAGTTCTGCTGGTAATCTTGTGCAACAATTTAATAGCCTTTGCAAGATGATCCATCACTGTCACCATAATGGCACTTTATTTTAGTGGAACTGCACAAGAGGATAAGAAAATTATAGTTGCACCTTACATGAGCCGGACAACCAACCTTAATGTTCCTCAATTTTAGTGCAACTACTAAAGAAGAACCTGCCAGCTCATGAGAGCAAGTACTTCTTGCTAGCTAAATGATGCAATCTTTGCTTCATTTCAGGTGAACTGCAGAAAAAGGCGCATGAATTGAATCATGGAACTTCAGGCAGGCCTCGTCCGAGTGGAGCTGTAGGTTGAGTTCAGTGAGGCCACTATTAAAGTGAAATCATGCTCTTCTTGTTTGTGTTGTGCAAAGAAGAATACTCAACTATAGATGTTCTGACGGTCAAGAGCATTCGCCAAGTTCCTCGATTGTATGACATGGCTAGCAAAGATGGATTTAATCCCAATATTCACTTTATCAAAAGGCTCTAATGGGTTGGTTCTGAATCTTGCAAGCTGGGAATCAATGAGATGTGTAGGCATCTTTGTTGTACTTATTATTTGAATCTTATTTGTTGGTTCTGAATCTTGCAAGCTGGGAACCAATGAGATGTGTAGGCATCTTTGTTGTACTTATTATTTGGATCTTATTTGTTGGTTCTGAATCTTGCAAGCTGGGAATCAATGAGATGTGCAGGCATCTTTGTTGTACTTATTATTTGGATCTTATTTGTTGTTTCTGAATCTTGCAAACTGGGAAACACGGCATGATGATGCAGAGGACAACAACCATAACAAATAGTTCAATCTTGGTAGTATTATCTTTGTGAAAGTGCGACAAATGTGTTGATCGTGTGCGTCTTGAGAATAATAATTCTAATTGTTGTGCATGTTGATCCTATGGCACTGATAGAATGAGCCAATGCATTGCTTGTTTTAAGTATAAATTTCTATTAAAGCTAATTAAATTTAAGTAAAGCGACCACTAACTCCTGTTATTACAGTACCAATACAGACCTGCTCGTGAACCGACGTGTGGCTGGAGTAGGTTTCTTAATGGAGGCGTTTGAATGCGCCGAGGGTGCATCTTCTACCGGGCGTGCAACAGATGAGGGAGGGGTAGTAACTGTTGTCGCATGTACACACTCAGTTTACTATTGAATCCATTTCCCCAAGAGCTGAAAAACGAACTGCTGTCGCCGCCTACACACTCATTCACTTGAAGAGACTCCAATGGCGATCCGAGGGGTGAGCCTGCTGGATATGGACTTTAGCAAGGAGTTCCCCTTTGAGTTCGCCGTTCAGTCCGATGGCTGCACCAAGTTGAATGTGATGTACACCAAAGATCCAGACTCGGTGAAGCTCTACCTCGCTGAGTTCAAGTAGTACCTACAGGACGAGAAAGCACAAAGTTGCAGGACTAGACCTTGTGCCCATCCATTCATCTTCTGACAAGGACCGGCGGATCACCGTCGCCCAGGTATGTGTGCGGTACGAGGTTCTCATCTACCACTTCTGTAGGGCCATCAGAGGTTCTGGAGCATTCACCCGATTCATCGGTAGCGCCGACTGCACCTTCGCTGCGGTGGAGAGAAGGAAGAACGCGACGATTCGGCCATCTGGTGCAACAAGTTTGTCGACATCCAGAAGCAATACAAGATCATCAGCAATGGGCAGGAGAAGGACTCCGTGGTTGACCTCGCCGAGACCATCATCGACCCCTGATACGCCAACATGAAAGAAGACAACGATACCAAGGACCTGAACACGTGGGAGGTACCTCTAAATCTAGCCTACATAACCTACGCGGCCAAGGACGCATACGCATGCTACGACATGTACAGGCAGATCTTGGACATGAGGGCGTGTCTGCTTCCCATAACCGACGAGTACACGGACAGCCGCAGCGTCATGATCAAGCTTGCCAGGAAGGTCTAGATGTTGTACTTTATCTGTTTATAAGCATATCATGTGAGTATTTCATGCATTAGCCTATGTGTCGTAATTATCTATTTTGTCCAAAATATTTATTTTAAGAACCCATTAACCTGTTTGCTTTTTTAGTGGCTATTTGCTTATGTATGTAACTAGTTCACTTGTTCGTTACAAAAAAAAAACTAGTTCACTTGGCTGCCGTGCTTTGAATCTCCTTCCTCCCAACATATTCTCCTCGTTAGGTGGACCCAGGAGGTCTCGCACACAGACATATGGGACAAACCACCTATCCATTTGTATTTCCTTATTTTGTTCAATCTTTCGTCCTCTTCCTATACAGCGGCTGGCCATCATAGCCTATGGCATTGGCCAGGCCATCCCTCTACTACCACACATTGTCCGGCGGCGGCAACTCCACCGGCCCACCCTGCACCAGAACAAGTCAAGCCTTGTAGTCCCCTCCGCCTGCGTCTTCCCCCGCTCCGGTTCGTTCGGTCCGAGGTCTCGACGTCGTCCTTCGCCTTGGTGCTCTAGCCGCGGTGCCGTCGTCTGTCGTTCCCAACATGGTCAGCAAAACAAGAGGAATCGGGAGACAACTGTTCGTCGAGAGGCTGATATTCCCGGGCCCACCAGGTCCATGGCCTAGGTTTTGTTGTTTAACATGGGCAGCCCACGACATGTTTCAACATTTTTTGGATCCAGCAGGTATCAAGAGGCCTTTGGGCCTCCCAACCTGGCTTGTCTATAACATCAACAACTCAAGTTATGTTTGTTTTTTCAAGACGACGCACATCTCAGTTCTATTTTTCTATAAAAATGCAAAACTGAACATGTTTTCTATAAGAATACAAAACTGAACCAATATTTATATCTTATTTTACTACATATCTCTCCCTAATCTTTCTCTAATAATAAAGCACGGGTTGACTTCGTGGGTTCACCGTCACAATACGCTTTCTTTTCATGTCATAATACGCTATAAAATCGTAATATAAATAAGGTGGTACTAAATTTCGTCCGGCTGGACCTGGGCGCCGCACGCACACGGCTAGCCCTATAAAATTCTTCACTCATGTGTAGTACTTCGGTAGTGCAGCACGAGATGGATTATGGAGTTGGGTAGTAGTGCTACCATGTCTCGAGAGCTGGTCGTCCTAGCGTTCACGTACGTGCTTGTCCACTATCTCACAGGGGTCATTCTCCGGAGCAAACGGGCGTCGCTGCCTTTGCCACCCTGCCCGCGGGGCTACCCGGTGGTTGGAGCGCTGCCCCTGCTGGGCCGGGCACCGCACCGAGCACTCGCAGCCCTGGCTAGGCTGCACGGCCCCATCATGCACCTGACCCTTGGAAGGCAAGGCCTCGTCGTCGCTTCCACGCCAGAGTCGGCGCGCCTCCTGCTCAAGGACCACGGCGGCAGCTTCCTCGACCCCCCGGTGGACGACGGCGCGCCAAAGGTGCTGGCGTACGGCGCCCAGGACCTTGTTTTCGCGCCCTATGGCCCCAAGTGGCGCCGCCTGCTCCGGGAGTTCAGCGCGGGCCTCCTTGACCCCAAGGCGCTCGCCGACTGGGCCGACACGCGCCACGGGGAGGTCGGCCGTATGGTCCGTGCGATGAGCCGGCGGGGCGAGGCATTGGAGGTACCGGAGTTTCTGTTCGGCGCAATGGCAAACATGATTGGACAGGCGGTGGTGGGTCGGCGAGTGCTCGACGAGGCTGGCGGCGAGGCCACGAGGGAGTTCAAGGAGATGGTGGTGGAGCTGATGACCACGGCGGGGTTGGTGAACATCGGCGACTTTGTGCCGGCAGTAGCATGGATGGACCTGCAGGGACTCGGCCGGAGGATGCGGCGGCTAACAACAAGGCTGGACAGGGCCTGGAGCCGGTTGCTGTCCGATCACGAGGTGGCCATGGCTAACAGGAAGCAAGACGGGAGGCGCCGTACAAACCTTGTCGACCGGCTGATCGCATGTCGTGGCCATGCGGAGGACGGGGGGACGGCGTCACAGACCTCAACATCAAAGCTGTACTTAACGTACGTACTCCATCACCTCTAGGGTAATCCACACACACACACACACATACGTGCACATGCATTTATGTTGGCCGGCTCACGCATACCACCATCACAGAACCTGTTCACAGCGGGGAAGACACTTCGTCGAGCACAATCGAGTGGGCGCTGGCCGATATGCCGATCGAGCTGAGGGTGGACAGGGGTCGGGCCCTCACCGATCGAGCTGCCGTTTGGACCGGCCGCCGGCGGTCTAGACCGGACCGGACCGAGCAACTTCGCACTCCTGTTTTTAGGGACCAAACATGCGGCGTCAAAGCTCGGTCCGGACAGAGAGGACCAGCCATGGCGAGGTGGCAGTAACCATGACGTCCGCTACGGGTTCTAAACTCCTAATGAGAGAGGGAAACAAAGGGAAAAGCTACGGGGACTCACGGTTAGCCCGACGGCGAGGTCGGTGAGGCCGGGGAAAGCAGCAATGACAATGTAATCGACGACGAACGACGATACTCGGACTTGGAGTTGGAGGATGATGGCGAGGGCTTCAGGGTGAATTTGGCCGAGTCCTTGCGCGGGGAAGGAGATCTCAAGGTTGTGGACCTCCTGGACAAGGTTGTTCGTTGTGGGGAATCCGGTGGCCGTGTGTGCTGCGCGTCGGTGGCATGCATGCTCTGCTTGTGCCTGCCCTCACCCAGCCGTGCGTGCGCTGGTCCTCCAGTGGGCTGCAATTTGCACCATGACTCGCTGAGCTTGACCTGTCGGTCCTAGCTCCAGCTGCACCGTGGCCTGTGGAGTTCAGCGCCACCGCGTCAGCCATCACACGGAGCTGCTACTGCTGCTCTTTTGCTCTAATTTTCTTGGATGCTTAAGCAAAACTAATGAGGAGAGAGAGAGAGAGAGAGAGAGTATCGGTGGTTACAGGAGCATAGGAATCAGAGGATAGGATAGGCACGTGTGTAGTGGAAAGAAATCAAAGATTTTTAGTGTGAAATATAATTGCTTTCCTATTGCAGCACGACGCTGGAGCATGGCAGGAGCGGTGCGGCATGGCGCGATGCTGGAGACGGGCTCGGGATGGGGACAGAGATGAGAGAGATACATATTTTTGTGACAAATAGCTGTTCGTGCACCTCCGGTGTAGTCAAATGGAGACACAGAAAGAGATGAGATGATATTCTTTTGTACTATGTTGTTGTTCGATGAGATGAGATGAAGCAGGTTGTTTGATGCTTCTTATAAGATGGATCAATGGGGTTGAGAGAGAGAGAGAGAGAGAGATCAGAGTGAGAAGAGAGAGTTGTGGTGATTTTTTAATTTTATGACGATCTTCGGTGTTAGTGCTGCTACTATTGGAGCTGAACCTGTGGAGTTCAGCGCCACCGCATCAGCCATCACACGGAGCTGCTACTACTGCTCTTTTGCTCTAATTTTTTTGGATGCTTAAGCAAAACTAATGAGGAGAGAGAGAGAGAGAGAGTATCAGTGGTTACAGGAGCATAGGAATCAGAGGATAGGATAGGCACGTGTGTAGTGGAAAGAAATCAAAGATTTTTAGTGTGAAATATAATTGCTTTCCTATTGCAGCATGACGCTGGAGCATGGCAGGAGCGGTGGGCATGGCGCGATGCTGGAGACGGGCTCGGGATGGGGACAGAGATGAGAGAGATACATATTTTTGTGACAAATAGTTGTTCGTGGACCTTCGGTGTAGTCAGATGGAGACACAGAGAGAGATGAGATGATATTCTTTTGTACTATGCTGTTGTTCGATGAGATGAGATGAAGCAGGTTGTTTGATGCTTCTTATAAGATGGATCAATGGGGTTGAGAGAGAGAGAGAGAGATCAGAGTGAGAAGAGAGAGTTGTAGTGATTTTTTAATTTTATGACGATCTTCGGTGTTAGTGCTGCTATTATTGGAGCTGAACCAGAGGCGCACTATATTGAGTGCTTTGCAGATGAAAAAGAGAGGAAGATCGTGTTGCATAGTGTTTGCTTATGATGTTTTTCTGATGGTAAATTTGTTGATTTGTTTGTTACAATAGACGCAAATAAACGGATTTACTGAATGACTGAAACACAGTTTCGATGTAATTTAATAAGTCTATTAATATATTTTGGGTTACCACAAAAGTGAGCCGATGATATAGTGTGGATGTACTCAAGCTGAGGTATGCACCAAATATTAACCCAAATTAGCATTTTGATCCCAATGCTCATATAAAGTGTTGTTAAGTATTGGCTTGAATCCTTCCTTTTGACGAAGACCCTCAATTCAAATAATTCAAACCTTCTTAGTTCGTAACATTTGATGCGTGAATTCTTGTTCGTACTTTAATTTTGTTTTACTATCTTTAGGGTAATCACTACTTTATTTATTCTTTAGTTCACGACCATTTCGTCCAAAATACATCATGGATAAAAAAAATGGGGATACATTAAACCAAGTTTTTCACAACTTATTAACATAGCCTTCCCTCATAAGAATACCAGTCGCTTTGTTCGCCGGTCACCTCGACCAGATCACCCGGTGCTCATTCACACCAGCAAGCAACTCCTTGATCTCTTCTATAAGAGGGCTAAACCTCGAATGCTCGAACGGTCTTGATCTCTTGATTGGAAAGCAGGTGCCACACCTTGATTGTTTGTCTTGAGACAAAGTTTTTCAATACCCAATTTCATCGCCAACTGAACACCTGTTGCAATATTTGAGTGGTAATAAATTACTTTTCTGTTTTCTAAACATTATGTTGGCATATGTGCTATCTTTTTCCTAATAATAAAGCACGGATTGAGTCTTTTGAGTTCACCGTTACAATACACTTTTTCCCGTGAATTTCCGCTTTCATTTCTTTTTACCTATATATTATTTTCTACATACGAGGTGGTACTATTGCTCCGCGGTCGTTCTGTCGTTATATCGCACGAAAATTGCTTACGTAGCTCCTAGATTCGTTAGTTCCGTTGTTGGGCTTGGGCCTGCATAGAACGAGTTTTTTTGGTGTGGGCCGGCTGGGTGCTGCAAGAGCTGGGTTGGGGTGGCGTGGCTCAGACGCGGGCGAGCGGCTGGGCTGCCATATCGAGCGCGTGGTCAACGCGGAGGTCGTCTCGCTCAATGCAGGGACCGAAGACGACGGTGCTCGGGATCGAAGCGGGCGGCGCTGGAGTTCTCATCCGGATAACGCCAGTTGAAGACGCGGCAGAAGGCTTGGCTCTAGGTGGATCTGGTGTAGAGGGGGTCACGAGCGAGGTGGAGGAAGGCGGGGCACTGAGCTCCATGGTCGCCCATGGCGGCGGCGTTCTCCGGTTCCTGTCGAGGGAGAGAAGAGAGAGTTTGGACAGGGAGAGATGTGAGCAAGGAGAGAAAGGAGCGGACGAGAGGCAGGGTTGGAGCGTCAGCTATGGCGGCAAAAGGATGCCCACGACGGTGGTGCCGTGGTGGTTTGACCTCGGCGGCTCAGCCATCCCTGCTAGCTCGAGCATAGTGGCAGGCCAAGCTCCGCCTCCTCCATATCGACCTGTTAATTTTCTATATGCCATGAACTTCGTGCTATTTTTTATATGTTCTTTGCGTGTTCTCTTGATCTGGAAGTAGGGAAGTCAGATCGGTATTCGTTGCTTCCTGCGTCCCTTGTGCCAAGCATCGGTTCAATGAAACTGGGCTCATTTCAAATTACTGAGATATGTCATGCATGCACGTGCAAATTGCAAGCTGCTCAGGGATCGCACAGGTGGATTCCGAGGGGTGGTCTGCCACTGTTTCCAGTCTATCAAAGTTTTCAGAAATCCTTGCATGCAGCATGAGAGTTCAACTAGCTGTGGAGTTGCATGTGCAGAAGCTGCATGCTGAGCTGGATAATAGAACGGTGGTGGGCACGCTGAATGCTAGGGAGAAGAACCTAGCAGCTGCTGGACCGGTCACTGAAGAGATTAAAGCCATGCTTAAGAACTTTCAAGATACAAAGATTAGTTTGGCACGCCGTTCCGTTAATGGAGCTACTCACGGGTTAGCTCGAGAGGGAGTTTGTAGGGAATTAAACAATGTGTGGACTGATGATCCACCAGACTGTATTTTGCAGATCGTTGCCTCGGGGATGTCCGGGTTTTTCGAATAAATAGATAAGTAATTAAGTTATCCTAAAAAAACAAAGTGTACTTATCCTTTATATTCCATTGATAGATGGGAAGGTGTGTCAGGTGGTTTGTTAACAAATTAGGTTTTTGTTGCAATTAATTATGTTTCTTTTTTTAATATACTACTCCAAATTTTAATGTTAGTGCAGAACAAATTTTATTCCATTGATAGATGGAAAGATGTATCAGGTGATTTCTTAACACTTTAGGTTTCACTATTAATTATGTTACATTTTTAAATATTTTATTCAAAATTTAAGGTTGATGTAGTAATTTCTTTACTAGATTGATGAAATATTGATTATGATAGAATTTTTATGGCATAGTAACCCCGGGCATGAGGGAGTAGATTGCCGAGGGCGGTCCTCACTTCTAGCTCGATGAGATTAGTTTTTTTAATGTTTTATATGAACATTCCCTTGCGCGGATGTGTTTCGGGCAGTGTCGTGGATGAGCTCATCACCTTGGTATCGATCATGTTCGGATACATTGTGATCAGGTGGTGAATGGCCGACGTGCGTTCGGTGTCATGTCAAAATACAAGGCACATGCATGTGCGTGTATGTGTGTGTGTGAGAAGAGGGGTCTTTGAGACATCACAGAAAGAGGACATATGATATTTCTTTTCTCCAGTTGCAACGCACGGGCATTTTTGCTAGTAATAATAATAATAATAAAGCATAGATTGAATCTTCGGGTTCACCGTCGCGGTATTTTTTCAAAGAAGTCCCTAATGTTCTCGATAATTGAACCCGCAGACTTTATTTTAATGGATTTGAAAAAACGGTTCAGTTTTACAAAACTCCACTCTATTAAATTAAACCAAAACAATCCAACCAATCCTCCGCCTCCTCCTCTGCTCTCGCCATTGCCCGCAGAGCTCCATCCAATCACTGGCTCGCTCGCCGAG